GTTAGGTATTTTGTAGAATGTCCCTCAAATGGAATTTGTCTGATGCTTTTCTTATGATTAATTAGACTGTGGTTATGGGTTTTCGGGAGGAAGATAACAGAGATAAAGCGCCATTCTCTTCACACCATGTCAGCAGTACATACTATCAACATGACTTATCACTGTTGGTGTTGACCTTGATAACCTGGCTGAAGTTAGTGTGTCAGATTTCCCCACTATAAAGTTATGCTTTTTCTCCCTTTTGGTACTCTCCTCTTTGAAAGGAAGTCACCATGTGCAGCTCATGCTTAAGGAATAGGAAGTTATTGTTTGTGGATTTCTTTGATGATGGCCATTTTCACTGGTGTGAGGTGATACCTCATTGTAGTTTTGATTTGCATTTCTCTAATAATCAGCGATGTTGAGCATCTTTTCATGTGCCTCTTGGCCATCTGTATGTCTTCTTTGGAGAAATGTCTATTTAGGTCTTCTGCCCATTTTTTGATTGGTCTGTTTTGATGATATTAAGCTGCAGGAGCTGTTTGTAAGTTTCGGAGACTAACCCCTTGTCGATCACGTCATTTGCAAATATTTTCTCCCATTCTGTGGGCTGTCTTTCCATTTTGTTTATGGTTTCCTTTGCTGTGAGGGAATAGGAAGGTATGCTCCACTTCCTTAAGGGGGGAATATCTATATCAATTCTCCTGCATGATAGATTTGTCTCTTCTGTTCATTTATTGGTATCAGCATGGACTCACAATAGTTATGTTATACTTTGGGTTATACTCCAATACACTTTATTATTCTGCTCAAATTGTTACAGTTTTGGCCACTGGAAGCCCCCTTGGTTGGCTCCTGATAATTCCTTCAGTTTGTGGGGTTGGGGGGAGGCGGGGTTTGTTTTTACTTTGTTTTGTTTTGAGCGCTATCTTACTTTCTGGTGCTACAACAAGATACCCTAGGCTCATCTTGTCTATTTCCAGCCCTGGTCCTAGGATCAACCATTTCTCCAAGAAGCCCTGACCCTTTTATTGGAGAATGGTATTAGAAACCAAGATCTGGGCACCAGGAGTGCTTGTAGCAACTATTTGCTAGGGTGTCTTTGTTTCTAGGCCCCCTCCTCTGTCACAGCTAGGAAATACATGTATGTTTACTAACCTGTATACCTGCACGTCTGTAAATATTTCTGTATGTATCCATCTGTAATCTACATTAAGCTCAACCTGAGTTCATCCTGACGTCTTTAATTCAAATCCATTGTCACATGGATCATTCTAGCTTTAATGAATCATTTCTAACAATAATACCATGTCTGGTATATGGTGCTAGGTACAGTGCCAAGCTGCTTACAAAGATTACCTCATTTGATCCTCAAAACAACATTCTGGGTAAACACTACTGCCCACATATAACAGATGAAGACACTGAGGTACTGAAAGACAAAGTATCTTACCTAAACTCACACAGTAAGTGGTGAAGCCAGCTTTTCTGTAAAAGCCTATTTTAGAAATTCCACACCTACTGTGTGATAGAGAACCACCATGCCTACATTCATCTAAAACTTTGAGAAAACTTCAGTTCTGAGTGATTTAAGATGCAGATGTAATTCCCAGCTCTTACCAACTATCGTGCTGCTCAAACCTTACCTCTTCAGTCTTCCCCACCCCCTCCCCACGGTCCCCTCTCCATCTGTCATGCTGACTAAAGACAAGTTGCCAAGTTACAACCTGACTTGACAGCTTGAGAAAAGGGGTGCTGGAGCGATGGCAGGGATCAGCTCCATCTGACCCTGTGACTTTTCAACCTCTGGCTCACCCCTGCTGTGTATGATCTTGGGTTTTGGTGAGTTGGTAGTAATTAACTCTGAACAAGCAGCTCTGCTTTCATGCAGTTAAAAAAAGAACAGTATTTTTTTTCCTTGTTAATTAAATCATCTACGAGGAAGATAAATGTGCAGCCCACACTTGTATCTTGTAAAATATCAAAGGCCTGATTAGTAAAGCTTATGTTCAACCTCAGGCTTTTTCTCCAGATTCCTGGAAGTAACAGGGATGTGAAGGAAGGCAACTCCTAAGTACCAATACCTGTTACATTCCTTCCTTCATTCATTCTGGGTGAGCTAGAAAGAAGCAACCAGGATCAAACACAAAATATTCCTGGGAATTTTGACCCAATCAACCTACAGAATTAGGAACATCAGCAGTGAGCAGACAGGAAGAAAGAGGATCCTTCAGACCAAGCTGGAAGTCACTTTTTTGAAAAGCCCACAGACCCCTCTGGTCCCTGTGTTCTGTTCGGTGAATTTTTCCTGACAGTTGGTGGTTTTATTTGCCAGAACCACAACAAAGAGGGTCCTTAAGTTTCCCTGGGAGCGTTTCCTCAGACCTGCACCTCTCCGAGATCTCACAGAGGTGTTACTGTTGTTGGCTTGCTGGGTGTCCAGCACCTGAGCCAGATCAAAGGCATTTTCCGACGCCAGCATGACCACAGTCTCGCCCTCACCACATAACATAAAGCTGCTGATTAATCCCCTTGGCCCAGAAGGTCCCTTCCCACTCCCAAGTACAAAGCGGGGTGGGAGTGGGGACTTTATTTCCAGCACAACACAACCATAATAAACTGGCATTTTATGGCCTTCATTCATTGCAACCAACTGCAGCTGCCCATCAAACTCATTAAAGCCCAACAGTTGCTTCATGTGAGCCTTTTATATCACTAGGAAAGTGTAATAAGAATCCCCACAATTTCTGAGTGTCTACTGTGTACTACGGATGTATGTACATAACTTATGTTACCCAGAAACCCTGTGAGACTGGCATCCTCACCCTCAGTGTGACGGATGAAGAACCTGAGGCTCAGAGAACTTAAGTAGCTCACCTTAGGTCGCAGGCCCAAAGAGTTCATAAGCAGATGTCCAAACCTACACCCGTCTGACTCTGAAGCCCACGCTCTCTCCATTCCTGTACGGACACATCGTAATCATGCACAACACAGTAAGGCACTGAGGGGGATGCACTTGGGATGCAGACAGAGCTGGACCTGAGTCTTCAGCTCCAGCTGAATAGCCTGGTGACCTTGGGAAAATTATTGGCCTTTTCTAGGCCTTAGTTGCTTAATTTCTAAAATGGATGCTGTATAACAAGCCAGCATCATTTTCATTAAGAGACCAGGAAACTGAGACATGGGGATGTCACAGACTCACATTCATATGGATTTGCTTTTGCTCATAAATCCGAACTGAGTGGGGTAAAAATGCCTGAAATGTAGGCTTTACAGGAGAAACCAGATCAGATGTGTCCCTGTGAAAATGGGAGGTGATTTAAAAAGGTTTAAAACAGTGTTCAGTGAAGACAAGCTAGCAAGTGTAGACTCATGTCGGGGGAGATAAGGGCTGACTGCCCTGGTGGGCACCTCCGGCTCAAGGCGGCCTTAGGCCTCCACTGATCTCTCCCTTCAGTGACAGCCAAGCCTTACAATAGGGCTGCTGAGGGGAAGAAAGAGGCCAGGGCTTTTAAACTTTAAGAAGTTCCATCTAAGAGTTCGTCCACGGAAACAAACAGAAGGAAATTTTTTTTGGAGGGGGTGTAAGAAGTCCAGCACTACTGTCCCTTTAGGACGTTGTCCCTAATCTTGGACCCTCCCCAGGCAGCCACTGTGTCCTTTCTGCCCAGCAACACCAGTGCAAGTGATGGAGAGCTAACCCTGGCAGTGTCACCTCGATCCATCCTCACAATACTATGAGACATGTACTACAACTCTCCACATCTCACAGATGAGGAATCTGGGGCCCAGAGGGGTTAAGTGCCTTGCCTGAGGGCCCATCCTTAGGAAGTGGAGGAACTGGGACTGGAAACCAGTCGGGCGGTCCCATCATCTTTATGAAACGTGTGAGAACCCCTGCCACCATGCCTAGCACATACTAGATGCTCAGTATCTCGAGTTCAGTCTGAATCTATACTGTGAGGCCTTGTACCGTAATACCTGTCGTCATCTATCTCACCAATGGGAGGCCCTATGTCATCCCTACATCCCCAGGATTTAGCACAGCCCTGGACACAAGAGCAGAGGATCACTGGATAAGTAAAGGTATCAATATTTACTCAACCAAAATATTTCATGGTACAAAAGGCTCACTGGTCCCCACGGTAACTAAACACAGTTTCTCATGGCACATAAGTCCCTCCATCGTCGTAGAGATTCTGCCCTGGACTGTATCCCAGATCCCACTCTAATCCTTACGCATGTCCCCGCTACTCTCCCATTTGCCTTCCTCCTCCTCCCCCACCCTCCCCTCTATTTTACTCATCTGGGAAAAATCCAAGGAGTCGTCCATCGTCCATCTTAGTTTAACAGAGTAACAACTCTTAAATAAAAATATGGTAGAAATGGGTACTTATCGAAATGGAATGCTTTCAGACTCATGCATTTAAAGAAGATATAAATTTTAGGGCAGGCACTAAATTTTAACTGCAATCTTGGAGAAAGCCTTTCCACTAATTCATGAAGAAAAATTAACAAAGTGAAAACTGCTTATCAGTGTTCTTTTGAAGTCATGATATGCAGCCTAATTCTATACATCATCAGACTGCTCCCAGGGAGATGGATTTATATTGATTGAGAGAGAGCTCAGCGGCCAAGGAAAATAGACCCCCCTGTGCAGAGAGGACTCAGCTACCCAGTAGGGACAGATCGTCTGGGAGCGAGGCTCGGCCACCTCTGGATCCGATTTCACCCCTTCCACCTCAGCTCTCTGGCCAGGGTGATGTCAAAGGCAGACTCAACGCTTTTCACACTTTTTAAGAATTTGGCCCCTGGAAAAAGATCTGGCAAATCTAAGCAAGGCTGTTGGAAGGAGGGCTGAGCTGAAAGCTAGACACAGCACAGGGCTGCGGGGGTTGGGGGGGCAGGAAGGGAAGGAACTGAGGTGGGGAGGGGCCAACAGCTCAGCTCTCCTCCCTGGCCAGGCCGTCCTCCCTGGAGTGTGGCAGCCCCGCCCTCGCTCGCTTGCTGGGCAGACTCACCCCCATGTGACAAGAAGATGTTCCACAGATGATAGCCAGCCGCGACGTCACCGGCTGTCCCTCACAGGCGAGGCCATGCCCCCTCACATCTGCTCCAATCACTCCTGTGAGAAACCAAAACAAAACAAAATCCTCTTAAAAAAAAAAAAAGAAGGAAAGAAAACTAAAACAAACATAAAATACTCTTTTTTTAAATACCAAACAACATTGAGAAAGCATTCCACGTGCAGGCCAGTCTCAAACAGAAACCAAAAGAGCATAAGTGGCCTCTGCCAGGGGAGCAGGGAAATACGTTCTGCTTTTGCTTTCCCCTCCTCAGTGTACAGCCTCGAACACCGGAAGAATAATAGTAACTGCAATTCGAATAATAAAAGCAACAGCCATCAGTGGTTTTTGCTCTCGAACTACCAGGCACCATGCTGAATATTTATATATATAGTCTCATTTTATATTGAGCCTGTCAAGTTGATATTATTAACCCCACGCATCAGTGGAGGAAGGAAGGCCCACCTATGGATGGAGTGACCCGTGCAAGGTCCCACTGCTAGTAAGGAGCAGGGCTGAAGGGAATCTGGTTTAACACATCACATTTCAGTCTCAACGAAGGCAAAAGAATCGTTTGATGACTGGATCTTCTCGGCATCTCTGGCTCACCATTCTTAGTGCTACTCATCCCAGAACTCTCGGCATAAAGGATAGAGTGACTGACAGTGAGTTTCTGTTGAAAGAATGCCAGGTGGCAGAGAGTTTCCCATAAATGGTATAAGCTCAGGCTGCTTCTCCACACAGATTGTGTTCCTTGATATTTGCTGGGCGAGTGAAGTTATAAATGCGAGGGGAGAGTTAGACCATTTAGAGCCTTGAGTCGTCTGTCACTTATTCAAATATCCAACGAGCACTTTGTACACATAAAACGATATACTGGGTGTGATGTAGGAGCCAAAAACACGCAAACATTCCCAGCTAGGACACAGGTAGGAGGTGGGAAGCATCAGGGCAGAGCACAGAGGCCGGACGCGGGAGAGAACAGCTCCCTCCGGCTCCATGGGCTTCGGGCTGTGCCTCCCCGCTCTCCATCTCCAATCCTCAGTGCTCCTTCCCACCTCCAGACCTTTGCATTCGCTCTGCCCTCTGCCTGAAATGCCATTCCCCAACCTCTTTGCCAGGTGAACTCCAATTCCTTCGTAACTCAAATGTTACTTCCTCGGAAGGCTTCCCTGTTCCTCCGGGAAAGATGCGGCTCCCAGTCCCCCTTGGGCTTCGCTAGCATACAAGACACTGGTAACTTACAGAATTACCACAGCCCGTCTGCCTCTCCTTTGATCATAAAAGCTGTAGGAAGCTGGCACTGTCTCGCCCACGTGCTTAGTCCCCCAGCACCGACCACAGTGGCCAGCATAGAGTAGAAAGTGAAAGTACCAGCGCTTGAGGCTGTGAGGGTAAGACGACAGTCCCTTTTCCTTGGGATGCTCACGGTCTTGTGGGAGGGAGGGAGAAGCCTAGACGGAGCATTTCAATGCAGGGATCAGGATGGGACAAGAAAAACTGCAGGGCCTACAACCACTATGGAGAACAGCATGGAGACTCTTTAGAAAACTAAACACAGAACTACCATATGACCCAGCAATCCCACTCCTGGGCATATACCCGGAGAAAACCATAATCTGAAAGGATACATGGACCCCAATGTTCATTGTAGCACTACTTACAAGAGCCAAGACATGGAAGCAACCTGAAGTTTTCACCAAGTCCCCTGCTCTGCTCGGCATCATGGGGCTGCCCCTGCAGCCCATGGTTCCCAGACACCAGGTCAGCCCTGCCAGGAGGTCTGAGGGCTGAAGGCACTGGAAAGCCAGAGTGCATCTCCCTCGCTTCCCCCGTGTCAGGTGGCTGCGTCTCCTCCATGATTTCAGCTCTGTTGACAGGGCCACCAACACTCCCACTTGGCCTGTGTTCACCGCCCCTCGTCTCTGGTCACACAACCTCCTCCTATGTTCCTCCAGCTAGGGGTGGCAATAGCTTCCATTCTGCTGACCCCTGGCTTGCTTCACAGGGAATATAGCCCTTCACGGCTCCTTCATAACTGGGTCACCATTTTTGTGTATTAAATTCCCTCTTTTCTATGTATTTAGAGTGCTCTACATTTTTCTGGGAAGTCCTGGGTGATAAATTTCCCCACCCAGGGCACAAAGGCTTTCGAACAGGAAGAAACCCTAGATATGAGATAATTTTAATTGAGCTCTATTTGCATGCTCTCTCTCTGCATCTGTCTCATTTAATTCTTACAACCACTGAACGTGACTGGTGTTATTATTATCCTCATTTTACAGAGGAGGAAACTGAAGCTTAGAAATGAGAAGTAACTGAACCAAGGTCACACAGCTCACCAGAAGCAGGGCTGGGAATCACATCCACGTAGTCTGATTCCGAACTGCTGGGTCTCAGGTTTTTCTCTAAGATAAAAACCCAATAACCAGGTGGACGATGTTTACTCATCTGCATATCTCAAAATATTGTGGCCTTAAATATATTGATCCCAAGATCCTTGACAGAAAAGGGGTTGGCCATTGCGGGTCCACGGTGTTATACGTAAGTTCAAGGAATCCCTGATGGTGACTGCCTTTACTGGTCCCACGTATGTAAAGCATGGACAAAGTTTATTTTACAGGGTACTTCAATCCTGAAAGGGGGTTAAACATGAGAAAAAAGAAATTTGTGGAAAATATTTCTTTGTTTCTTCTCTGGTTAGCAGATTCATTGTTGATATTACTAGCCTTAAAATCTGGGAACAAGTGTGTTACAATGAAAAAAGAATGGAATTTGAAGACAGAAAGACCTGCTATAAAATGAAGAAGATAACAATATCATATGGGAGCTCTGATACAGAGGGAATGTTTAAAATTAAATGATTAATTAATGGTTGCTATGTCACTACTACCACCATCACTATCGCCATCGATATTACCAATATCATCTGAACTCTTTCTCAAGAGACAGTGGTATTCTTCCCACATTTTTAGAAAACATGTTAGATAGCTAGGATAGGCTGGATACTGCATTAAAATCTTTAAATATTGTCTCATTTAATCTCTGCAACATCTACAAAATATATTTTCTTCCCTTCGACATACACAGAAGAAACAAAGTAACTTGCCCAAGGTCACAGAGATGTAAAACCAGTGCCAGGATATGGCCCCTTGACCTTGTTCTGTCTGACCCTAAACCCATGTTCTTTCTAGAATCCCTCACTTTATGAAGTGACACTTGTCTTATACAAAGGAAATATATTTGGAAGTGTCAGTTCACCAGGGAACATTTAGCAAGAGCCATGGGTTTAGAGTTTGAAGATCTGGGCTTGAACCCTGATTCTGCCACAAACCACCTGAAAGTCTAAACTGCTCCCTCACATCCACGAGGAGAGAAATGGATCACAAATTGAGGTTCTTTTCCAGCCATTTTCAGTACATAATATACACAGTGATTCTTTTTAAATACCAAGTCCACTGTCTCCTTGCCTGGAAACAGGAGGGCAGGAAAAAAAAAATCCCTCCCAAGATCCTATATTCTCAAGTCCTGAGGAGACTTAGAAAACCTCAGGCCAGGCTGGTACAGCACTGCTGAGAGGCAGGTCTTGCCCAATTTCCCCTCCAGAGGAGGTTCTCTACACTCTGCCTAACTGATCTGATCCAAGAGTGGTGCAGGGCTGATGCCTCTGTGAGACCACATGAATCCCAGCCCTGACATATCTCATTTTTCCTTTGGCCACTTAGAGTGCGGAGGGGCCGAGCCGGGGAAAAGAGGTCCAAAGTAGGGAAAGCAACAAAGGGGAGGAGGACCTTTCTCCTTTCTGCATAAACACATTTCACAATCCATAGAGGGATCATGGACCTCACGTGTACATCAGGAAACAATTCCTAAGACGGGGTTTTGATAAGCGCAGCCCTCAGCACTGCTGGGGCCCTTCACATGACTGTTCATGTGTCAGTGAATTCAGCATTCCTCAGAAAGTTTAAAGGGCAAAATTAGCAGCTGAAGAAATAGGCACCAAAAAAAAAAAAAAAAAAAAAAAAAATTGTGAGATGTTCAACTGGGTTTTCCCTGAAACTTGTACAATGACCAGCTAATGGTAGTTGCTTAGTAAATTTTTTGTTGAATGAAAAACAAATAGCAGAAAAACAAGCATACTGAGTCAATGAATCAATTCAGGGCCTTTTATTTAATGACTCCTCCCCTTCCACATAAACAAGAACACAGTTCATATCAAGGAATATGTTTTAAAGGCACAAAATTAAAAAGGAAAAAAAGAAAAAATTAAAACTTCTTTTCCTTTATGTGCTGTCTCCCTCCCTCTGCCCCATCTACCAACCATCCATCCTTCCATCCAAACATTTATTGAATATCTATTTATGTCAAAGAAGAAAGAGATTTTGCAAATGTTATGATTAAGAGTGGGTTATCCTGTAATTTATCAAGCCACAACTGCTTTGAAAACTTTAAAAGGTTATATAGAAGAAAAACATCCCAAGCTCTAGCATTTGTGCTATAATTATCTCATACTTTACAGCTATAAAAAGTACTTTATAGCTTGCAAAGCATCCTTAAACACTGTACCCTTCATGTAGCTTTTAAAAAATCCTATAATATGTGTTATTTTATTTTGAGATCACAGTTGAAGAAACTGAATTTCAGAGAGGTAAAGTAACTTACTCAAGTTTATTTAGCTACTTGGAGGCAGAAGCAGGGCTCAAACCAGGATTTTTAGTCTCCTAGTCTGAGGTTTTTTCCCTATGTTTGAAAAACAAAAAAGGTCTGCTTTGGATGCATTGGTATCTTGAAAAAGGTGCTCTTAAAATAACAACCCCAGATACCCTCTCTGAAGGAAGAAAGGACACGAAGGATTTCGAACATTACCTAAGACTCTTGAATCGACCATTTGGAGGAATGAACTGACTGATAAATTGCATCAAATGAGTTGTTTGACTAAGCTGGCCTAGAGGTTTATAGGGTCCCTGGGGAGAAGGCTCTCTGGAGCCTCATGTATGCAAAGTCTCACGTATTCCAAGCCTGCTTCAATAACTGTAAGCTCCCGGAATGGTAGGAATCA